GAAGTACCCAAACATGCTTGCCACCCACTTACACTCTGTTAGAAATTCACTACTATTGCTGCCAGAAACAGGAGCAGACTGATCTGAGCTGTGACATGATCCACCAAGTCTGTTTTCATCTTAATAAGAGCCTACAGAAATATCTAAGGGGACACAGGATTCTGCTGCACAAGGCTGACTGTCGTACAGCTCTTCAGCTCCACCAAGTACTTTGGCCATAGAAGAAAATGATCTCACAGCTTGCTCCAGATCAGCTTTGCTGGCTTTGTTCGATAGGCACAAATAGCATCAGCAATGGAAGGGAAGGGACAGGGAGGCAAAGCTATCAGCATGTTTTCCTCCCCACCAGACAGCTGTCTCCTCTAGCACAAACAAGCCAAAAACTTGCTCTAGCTGAAAAGTCTGTGGCAACTGATGAGAACTTTCAAAAACGGTCCAGCAAAAGATAAGCTGGAAATGGTCCGTACAAATGTTTATCAGTAAAGCAGTCAGCAGTGAAACAGCCTTCTTTTAAGGCAGGAACAGGACAGCAGCTGGAGACCCTGCTGCCATTTCAGTGCCCTGCCTACAAGAACAGGTCATGGAACAAGTCTCGCAACTTGCATGTACTATTCATGCCATCCCCCAGATGGCTAATTATGTGGTCAGTTATCACTGATGAACAAAGAAATAATGCTTCTGGTAGTCAGGCAACACATAAGCTGGAAGCTTTTAAAGTGGATGAGAAAACCCTAAGTCATACGGAATTCATGATATCTGAGAATGTGAGGAAGAGATTTTAGCAACAAGGACGTGATAGTTGTTCTCTGCTGAGGGAGAAAGTTTCAGCCCTGTCACATCAAGTCCCATTGTAGCCACAACACTCTTTTTGCTAAAAATAGAGCATAATCTGTATGTTCTGTGCTAGCAATTAAGCTATCAACATGCTTATTATTTAAGGCCTAATAAACCTCAAGATTTGCCTTAGAAAATTAAAAGTGTTACGTGCACATATATAGCAGAGACAGAATTCCTATAAAACGTGTAAGCCTTTAAATAACCTTCACTTCACAGTGGAGCTTTTTAATGTTAGTATTGTGAAGGAATAATTAGTAGTGACTCGCCATCAGTTTATGAGAGCCTGGGAGAAGCTAAGTCCTCATATAAAAACACAAACAGTGTTTATGGTGATGAGATTTCTCATGAGGAAGCAGTGGGGGACCGCACCAAAGCTCTCTAAAGAGACACATTCTCAGAATCTAAAGAATTTTATGCTTCAGTTGTCTGCACTGCTCAGTTTGAACAGAAATAGTTCTGTCAGCTCCTCGACAGAGGCGGAGAATTGATTTTCTTCCTTCATCCTCACGTGGAGTTTCCATCCTCGCAGTGTTTCCAGTGGAAAGACGGGCATCTGTATACATAACTTGTATATTAGGCTGGATATAATTTACATGAACTCTACCCAAAGCATAAAGCAGCAGAACCAATTTGTCAAGTTCTTGAATTTAGGCCAGATTCTTTAAACTCTGTGTTCACAGAGCTATCTATCTAGACCATCTTTTTCGGCATACAGCCACTGTTATATTTTACCAGAAGTTTCTTCTCTTCAATTTGTTGTCCTCCCTCTTCATTGCAGAAGAGGCAGCAGGCTGCCACAAAGAGCCCTGCTCCAGCTCCTATGGGGTGGGAGAAAGAAAAAAGAAAAAGCATTCTCTACTCTCCAGTTCTCCACTCCTGGAATAAAGGGCATCCATTGAGCAGCTAAACTGCCTCCTCCTCACTGCCCTCACCCCTGGGGCTGCACAGTGCTGCTGGGAGGAAATGAGAATTTCAAGGAACATATTACAACACAAAAGTAACAAGAGGCGAGCATCACAGACACTGCCCCAAAAACTGAAGGTACTTTAAAATGCAAGGGCTCTCCTCTAAGCTGATGTATAACATAACCCATCACAGCCAAGCAGCATGTTTTGCGACACGTTCTTTTTTACCAATCTATTTCTGAAAAGGGGAAACATCCTCAAATCAACACCTCTTACATTGTAAATAACGCCAGTACACACTGATGCTATCTGGTGGAACAACTTGGTAGCCTGTAAAATGGTATTAAATATGTCACTTCTCTAGTCTGTCAATAACAATTATTTTTCTAACGCTTGTTCAGTTATAGGAATACATGAAAAGAAGCAATCACATTACAGAAAACATGATTTGATGTTGTTTGTATACATACACTCATGTACTGAGAGTTTGTTTCATCTCCTGAGATTATGGTTATTGCCTGCAAGTTCTGTATAAGAACAGTATAATCATAAGAATAATAATTTCCATTTTATTTATGTAGAACATAAATTTCTAAGTACTTACAACTCAAGGTCAGCTGAAAGTTGCCACAGAAGCAACACTGTTTCATTAGCAATGCAATGGAAATAAAAGACAAAAATCAACAACAAAACTTTAAGAAACCCTGGAGACTCACTAAAAGCACAGAGGCTGCAGTGCAGCCATCACACAGCTCCATCCCCAGAACGGGGCCAGAGCAGCACACCAAAACAATGTCAAGCCATGGGTGAAGCCAAGCCTCAAGGCAGCCAAAAGTGGAAAAGTCATAGCAAATAGACTTGAGAAGGGGAGGGGGGTGAAGCATATACCCCTATAGTAAGTGCTAGCATGAGGTTTTGATGAAGTGCCTGTGTCAATGGGAAGAATAACAAGCACCACGCAAATACATATATAAAAATATATTATATAATATAAAAAACACAGAAGGTAAAGCAAAAGTCACCGTAAGAGGTACCAGAACTCCTTGGTACAGGAGAAGGTAAGTTATTATTACCCATAGTATTTCCTCAAAAATTTCAACTCCTTGTTTTAGTCCACCCTGCATGATGGCTGTATTTGCAGAGCACCCACGGTTTCCCATCCTTTTTAGACTATGTGCAGCCTTCTGAGTTTCACAACCTTAAAACATTCTAAAGAACGTATCATGAAACATATCAAAGAACTGTACAAAAACATCTGATAAGGCTTATTACCAGCTAGCACCAGCCGTGCTCCACTGGTAGCTGTTTTGCTTCTGAAAAGGATAGCAGTACCAAGACTTATTCTAGTCTTTGAGATGAGGTTTTCTCTGCTGTGATCTGTCTAAGTAGTCAACCAGCATGAGATGTTCACTTTTGTGATACCAAAAGCACTGGCATTTTAATGCATCCTAATTGCCTTAAAAAGGACTTCAATTAAAAAAAAAAGCAGTTAACACAGAGGTGCATTCCAAGTACCAGACAAGTCCTTTCTGACCTAAGTTGGGAAAAAATAAGTCTGGAAAGTTGCATTTTCAGTTTGAGAGATTCCTTTAACACCCTGATCAAACCACTCAGTGAGCAAGACTCAAGACCATCAGAACTACAGTTCCACTAGAGAGAACGGATTAATTGACACAAATAAGTTTTGGGGTTCAAGGATAAGAGGCACAAATTTCTATAGTTGAACCCAGTGGGAAAACAGAAACCCTCAGGCACCAAAATGAACAGATCCAAACTTCTCCAGCTAACAGTACCACGTGCTTCTTTCATTAGGTACTCATTTTGACAACAGGCAAGCAGAACGCCGACCAAGGAGTTCCTATCCTTTTTGACACTGTGGGTTGCCTATCTCAATCCATGCCTTTGTCAGGCTAGAACACAAGCAAGGCTCCAAAGCAAAGACAACTCACCCACCAGGGATGACTTTATTGCACTGCTTATGTTAAAAATATTCCACGGCTATTATCTCAAGAGAAGACAGCAGCTTCAGATGTCTCCCCACACACACCTGCCTCCCACTGGCTACTAGCTTGAATGCCTTCATGGTCTGCCTGCCACTAACCTCACCACTCAACTCTTAGTGACTGAAATATGTCTGGAGGCAGCCAGAGAGCACAAATGAAAGCCTAGAAGCTCCCCACATTTAGTTCAGACATATTAGCATTGAAGTCTAGTTATGAACCATCTAAACACATCCACTGTTCCCAACTTCACAGCCTGGAGCCAATAAAGGAACATTCATCACATGTGTAAGGCAGAGCATGAAGTGCTGGTTTGCACTGGCCACCACAAACCACTCCTTCAAAGCCCAGCAGGTTTTCTGGTTATCACCAGTAACTGCAGTTGAGTGATCTGAAGTATGCAAAATAGAAAATTTCACTCTTCACAACTTCAGTGGCCAAGGGTCAGAAATCAAACCCTTCCCTTTTTCTCTGTGTAATGCTATAATGGGATGACAATAGCAGAGTGGCAAAGTCTTTGGCTACAGCAAATGAGAACAAGCTCAAATACAGCAGTCACAAATACAAAAATGAAGGAAAAGAGCTGCTTACCTTTGGAAGGCCTCGGGTAGACAAGGATCTCTGGCAAGATTTGCCCTCGCTTCCACTGCCAACCCTTAAATGAGGTCTGGGTCACTCAGGTGCAATAGATTACATGCACCTGAGCTCTCCTGGTTTGGGCCTGCCTTCCTACCAGGTGCCCAATCACCAGTTCAGGCCATGACTTAGCATTTCTGCTACACTCTGGTCTAAAGCTATGAAATAACCCACCACTCCTTCCTCAAGTTAGGAGGAAATATAATTTCCAAGATAATCTCATTAATTTAATTGCCTCAGGAATGGAAACTGAGATTCACATTTTTAAACTTCCTCTGCACCTCCTTATTTGAGAGAAACAGAAAGCAAGCCAGGACTCTGGTGCAGCAAACATACTTCAGGAAGCTGATACTTAAAGAAAAACAGCAACCATCATGAGAGCTGGCAACTCTCAAATCACCAGTTGTAGAGGAAAGAATATTAAACAGCTATCATCAATCTATCTGGATCCAGGAAGCGAGCCATGAAATGCTGACAAAGGGGAATATCTGGTCTGACAGTGAAGGTATATTTATCTTTTAAATGAAGAATAATGGAGTTACACTGAAGAGACATATTTTAACTCTGCAACAGTGAAGTATCAATCCCGTCACCTCATAGTGATATTTGAACACCCCCGAGGTAAGAAAATTTATTTTATCAGCTATTTTAGAGACCACCATTTTACACAGTTACTGTAGTCTCCAAAGGAACTACGTGAGCAGCAGAACCAGAACAGCAGTGGGGAAACCAACCTTCTGAAAAGCTCTAGCACAGTCCCATCGCAGCAGCAGCCCAGGTAGCCAGCTCTCTTCTCATCCTCTGCTTCTTTTCTGCCAAGTAGAGATAACTCCAGATTATCAAAAGAATGTTAGGGGTTTTGTTGAGGATGAAGACATTTTCACTTGATTTGCTTCCCAACATGTTAGGCCTCACAACCAGGAATATAACTAGCATGTACTTACATAGAGCATCACTTAAGGAATGCATATCTGTGCCTTGGGTCACAGGCTGGGACAGAAGCCATAGCACTAGGGTACAGGTAACAGCAAGATGCACTCCTAGCAGCTCTGGGGATATCTAAGTGCACTTAGCCCCAGACTGGGCTAATTTTATACAGACTACTCTCCAAGGAACAAAAGAAAGAAAGAAAGCAGCAGCAAACAACTGAAAACCTTATCTGAACACCTTTCTGCCCGCTGAGTGAGCTGAGATAGCCTCACCTCATTATATCTCTTTCAACTGAAGACCAGATTCCACCACTAAGGACTCAGGATTATGCTCTAATCCTGATACACTTACCTCCTTTTTTTCCTCCCAACGTCCACGTCCTGCCTGCTGACATTATGTAGAAAGTGGGGAGAAAAAAAGAAAAAGAAAATCAAAAAACACAAAGCAAATTCACTGCTTACAGAAGAACTCCTCCTTAGCACCACACATACGTACTAACGTCCTACCTCACTCTGAGCAAAATGAGCACCTGCTGCCTGGAGACAAAGCAGCTGCTCCCAATGCAAGTTTCCTCCCATCAGCCTGTCCTTCAAACCCTGCACCCTAATTGCATACAGGTGGAGTCAGACCTCTAGGCAGCCCAGCCTCCTTTTGCTTAAAGTGGTAGTCAAGTAAAACAGTCCTGGGTTGAAAGGGGGCACTTGGACATATAATATTTGGTTACACCAAAATACGGATAATGGGAAAGAACTGCTGCTGCAGTTGCCCTGTAAGAGGTTTGTGCTTGGGCAGCCTAAAGGTGGCAGGTTGTTAATGCTGGCAACCTGAAAACCTCTGTCCTTCTCTCCACTTTGGAAGCTCTGAAAAACATATTTACGTATTATTTTTTACTACTACAGGCTTTATCTTAACAGCAGCCAAAAATGAAGCAGCAGCACACATAAATCTGCACTACTAGTTGACTCACCTCTGCTTTGCAGAATGCTCCTACAGACTGAAAAAGCCCAGGCCAGGCAGCCGGCCATCTGAGGCCAAAGCACAGTCTGCCTGGCAGCACTTCTGTGCTGGGTCAAACATGAAGATATGCAGCACATGGTTCCTCCTGCTGTGAGGCTCTGGGGCTTTTGCTCTCCATGGGGGAACGCTTTGCAGAGAGAGTGTGAGCACAGCAACCCCCCACCCAACTTCGTGGCAAAAATAAGCAGGCTTCCATCACTAAAAATCAAAGGTTTGATTTGCTTCAGCTGTGCAGGAGAGGGGCTGCCTGCAGAAAGGAATTAGAGCTTGAATGTGTAGCAAAAATAGACTGTGGTGAAACCTCCAAATCCTGGAAGCACATGACTGAGCTTTCCTAATTCCACAGCCAGCGGTGCGCGGTGCTGGAGAGCCCAATCCCATCAGAACGGGACTCTCATGAGTAATTAAAGCCACAGAAAAAAAAGAGCACGCTCTCAAAAACTGCCTAACTTGAAACAGCAGATATCAGAAAACTGTGCTGGGCTTCTAAGAGCAGGTAAAGGATCAGCTTGGGAGAAGAGAGGCACATAATGGCAAGGATGGTGCTTACCTCCATAACGATGCTCTTTCTGTTGACCCACGTAGGGAAACAGGCAGCAGTAATTTAGACAGGAAAATGGGTACTGTTTCATTATGATGGGAAATTGGGGTTTAGAAGAAAATCCTATCCATAAATCTTTCAAAATCACCACGACTGATTTCCTCCTGCAAAGCGGGAGCAGCAGCTGCCACAGCTCTGCTTCCCTCTGCTTTTCAGACAGCCTGGGGGACGTGTCCTCCAAAGGTACCCCTCACCTCCACAGCTTTGGGTGATTGCAGTCATTTCCATTGAGGTAAAAAGCATTTCAGGCCACAGAGGGGTCAGAGAAAGGCAAAAGCAACTGCTGCAAAACTTGTTGTTCCAGAACGTTCTCTCCAGGAACACGCGTTCATATTGTAACGGTGGGTGGCTTTAGGATTTTTTTTATTTGCTCCGTTTTACCACGGCAGAAGAAGAGCCATCTTATCACCTCACCTCATCTCCTGTGTGCTACGGAGACGGGTCGTGCACTGAGCAAGCAAAAGGTGCAAGGAACGAGCGCTGGGAAGCACTGGATGCAGCGGAGCACCGCGCTGTTCTCCTGCTTGCCCCGCTCACCAGTGAGAGCATCAGCCCGACGCCTGGTGAGCAACGAGCAGAACGTGGGCGCCTCCGAACGCCATCGTGCGTAACGGGATCACAGGCGTTTGTGGAGATGTCTGAGAGGGGCTCGATGGAAAACAAACTCCTTCTGCGGGAGTGGGGAACGGCCGCGCAAAGCCACCCTGCAAAAAGACTGCATTTTACCATTTAATCCTCAATTATACACATGACTTCGCTGCAGAAAGGTCACCACACAAAGAACGTTAGTCAACCGCGCTGGAGGGAGGCGCCGTGCGGCCGCGCTCAGCCTCAGGAGCGCGAACGGCCGAGCGCAGGGCGAGCGGGGGGTCGCGCAGCCCGGGGTCACGTGGCCCTCCCGGCCCTAACCCGGCTGCCTCCTCCCATCGCGTCCTCAGAGCCGCTCCGGGGCCGCCGAGATGCGGGCGAGGGCGGGCGGGCTGTGGAGGCGGCGGGCGGCGCTGCTGCTGCTGCTGGCGCTGTGGGGCTGGAAGCCGCGGGGAGCGCGAGCGCAGCGCCCGGCAGAGGACACAGGTGGGGCGGGGGCCGCGAGCCGCGCTCCTGCAGTGCACAGCGCCCGGCCGCGGCGTAACGCCTCTGTCCTCGTCTTTCAGAGAACGGGACGGATTGCGTTCCCCCTTCGTCTGAGTTTCCCGAGGGATTTTTTACACCGCAGGAGAGAAAGGATGGAGGAATCGTTATTTATTTCCTAATCATACTTTACATGTTTTTGGCCGCGTCCATCGTGTGCGATGATTACTTCCTACCGTCTCTAGAGATCATCACGGAATGTAAGTGCGTCCATCCCCTTCCCCGTAGCGCTGCGGGCTCACAGCTGGGCACCGCGGGGCAGAGCTGCAGCCACCCCACAGCTGCTCACACACGCAGACCTTACCAGCGTACGATGCTGCACTGAAAAGCAAAGCCTGGGCACACCGGCTGCCGCCATCCAGTAGGTATGTCAAGGAAGGGACAGTTAGAGCAGCCCCGTGAAATCTCATCACCCTGCAGTAACTCCCCTGGCTTCAGCAGACCACTGAATGAAAAGGTGGTCCTGGCTGAGTTCAGATCTTTGCTGATTAAAACTGGTTCTCCAGGGAAACTCATCCCTGAACACTGGAAAACGCTCCCCAGACCAGAACACTTACAGGAAATGTAAGTTTAAACATTGCCGTAGGGCTTATACTTCTTTTAAACTGACATGCTAGACTGTTGTTCCGTATCAAGCTATACTTTCCTGGTCTCAGTGCAGACTTCAATCCAAAAGGTAATGTTTCATAAACAGTTTACGAGAACAAAAGTCTTACAGCATTCATGGAGGAGGTTCATCCCAGCACTGGTTTAAATCTGTTTTTGGTTTACTAAGACACAGGAGCATGGGTTTCCCTCAAAACAGACTTGAATCATCATTTAGTGTTACCACACTTGTCCAAGGAACGTCCCCACCATTTTTATCCTCACAAAACAGCATTAAGGCTGACATAAACACGCCTATTTTACCTTTTAAGATCATATTGTAATGACTCCTGTTACCAGTGCTCCTCTTCTAGTATTTAAATGAGGTTGGGAACAAGTAAGCTCAATGAGGCTACATTTTCATGTTTTAGACATTTCAAATACTTGCATTAACTGTATGAAAGAGAGCAGAGTTTATCCCAGTACACTGTAGTAGCTTCTAACATTACATACTAATGTAAGACTACTGAAGTATTTCGTTTTTTAAAAATTTTTTAAAGCAATTCTTTTGCTCTGTCCTCAGGCCTTGGCCTCTCTCAAGATGTTGCTGGAGCAACTTTTATGGCAGCTGGAAGCTCTGCTCCAGAGCTTGTCACTGCTTTTCTAGGTAAGAGACACACACTTTGACTCCTCGTAACCCAGAACTCTTTACCTTGCATGTCAACGAGGAACATACCAGAGAGTCATTTTCCCTGTAGGAGTCTTTGTGACAAAAGGAGACATCGGCGTCAGCACCATCCTTGGATCGGCCATCTATAATCTTCTGGGGATTTGTGCAGCATGCGGGCTGCTCTCTAGCGTGGTAAGAATCAACTTGGATAGTTCTGCACCTGAGAGCCAAATGGTTATCCTTTCTGCTTCGCCAACAAAAGTCAAGAGAGACTTACTATGACAACCGTCAAGTTTATTATTTCGTAGCAAAACCAGCATGTAATCAGATTTAAGATAAGTTGCTATGAAAGTTTTTAAAAACACTAAGTTGTTAAATATCATACTTGAGTCATTCCTAAGAATCTTAGATTTTTACATAATATAGAAACAACATACCGATGCAGCATTTACAGCACTTAGTGAAAGTATTACAGACACATTTTTAAAAAATGAAAATGAATCTGTGATCTGCAGGTTTCGAGGCTATCCTGTTGGCCGCTGTTTAGAGACTGCCTGGCATATACAATTAGTGCAGCGGCGGTCCTTGCGATGATATCTGACAGCAGAATTTACTGGTAAGAGCACAAGTAGTGTTTCATTACTGTTGACTGGAGATTAGTGAAACAGTGTTAAAAAACAAACAAACTTCAGCTGCCATTCACTAACAGAAATGTACATCCTGTTGGCTTTAAAAATGTAGAAAGTCACAATGCTTGTAAAGATTGTTACCTAACCATTCAAACCCTGCGTATTTATAGTCTGCTCTGCATAGGTTTCTTTGTACAAACTTCACAACTTCTATCTGACCTGTTTTGGCATAGCAGTCTTCATAGCTTACTTCTTTTAGAGACTTTCCTTAATAGCATTACCACGAAGAAAAAAACATTCCTCTGTCAGAAGCAGACCATGACTTTCTGATGTCAAGTCTCTTTTCCATCACTACTGAAACTCCTCTTGTCTCAAAACAGTCAGGTCCGATGCTACCTCTCTGAAGTTTCTGACTCAAAATAACACACTCTGTCCCCCTCTTTCCCATCCCGTAAGACTCAGTTTTGCAAACATCAGTTGTTCAGTAAGTTCCCCTGGAAAACATGCAACTATACAATACACAGACAAGATTCTGCAGGGGAGGAGAATTAATTAAACTGCTGAAAGACATGAAGAAACTTACAAACTTCCATGACATTGCTCATACAAGTGCAAAAAGATGCTTTTGTTTTTTCCTTTCACTACTCATGCAATTTTTTTTGTCTTCTCATGTCAGTCACTTTAGTTATTTATTATATATTAATCTATATTACACATTATGTAATTATTATTTTTTTTTTTTAATTCTAGGTATGAAAGTGCTTCCTTATTATTAATATATGGGTGTTATATTCTGGTACTATGTTTTGACATTAAAATCAACCGGTGCCTCATGAAAAAGCTCAGTCCCTGCTGTTCCTGTTTTACAAAAGCCACGGAACAGAGCGGCGAGCAGCAGCCATTAGCTGGATGGAGGGAAGAGAGAGGGCCTCTAATTCGTCAACAGTCAAGAACTGATAGTGGAATTTTTCAAGATGAGCTGGACTATTCTCAGTTTTCAACAAGCTTACATGGGCTTGATGAAATCTCTGAAGGTATAAGTATTCTTACAGTTGTCTCTAGCAATCTCTATGCCAGTTTACATAAGTTGTAACAAAGAGCAGGTTTTCAGATATTATTAAGTTTTTGCTCAAAAAATATCATAGTACTTAAGTACATCGTTATTCTGTGCTGGAATATAACGTTAAGTAAAACTGTAGTTGTGATTTTTGTATGCAGCTAGTTGCTAGAGGAATGCTAGGACAGTTGCTTATTTGTGCACAGCAGTAACTGATGGAAGTTCTGTTACTGGCACATTTGAAACTTCCCAGCAACTCAGTTTGTAAAATGCAGTATCAGCTGAAAGACACACTGCTACTGTTCTAATATATCCTGTTTTGTCATGGCAGTGGCCAGTTCATAGCCCAAAATATGCATTATAG